GACCAAATATCAATGTTTATCACACAGAAACAGTTGGGGTCTCAGGTCTCTGCTGATGTTATTTTGTGGGTCAAAGGCTGTAAAGTTTGGGAAGCCCTGCTCTCCAACAGCTGAGTGGTCATAATGTTGTGGCTGGTTGGGCGGGCGCCCCCCAGCGGTAACCTCATGAACTGCACCAGGTTCAGTCAGGTGAAGCCAAATTAGACTAAAACAAATAAAAGCAGTCCTCCTGTCACTGTGTCGGTCAGCCCATCCTAACCCGGTAATAACGGGCCTTATTACAGCTGCAGGTTCGGTTCTTATAACGCACGGTGTTAGCTAGCATCGCACTGTTAGCTGGGAGGATCAGGATAATGGGGCTGTGGGAACCCGGAAGGCCACAGCAGCATCTCAGGCTGAAAATGTTGACAAGCAGCGGTGGTTCCGACCCAGCTGCCCTCACAAACAAAGAGGGGAACATGGAGCACAGGGACCGGGACGGGTTAACCTCCGGGTTTGTTTTTTTTTTTACAACAACGGTACCCCGCAAAAGGGTTCCGACATTACCCGTCAAGATTCCTGACGCTAACACAAACACACCCCAGAAACACCCCCAATAAACCCGTTTAGGAGTAAAAGTACCACAATCGGAACCAAGTGAATAAACGGAATTAAGCAGAACCTTTAAATATTTGGACCAGGAAGGTTTAAAAGGAGATAAAGTCCACTTACAGCCACTTTTTATCCTGTTAGCTGCAACTTCGATAAAAACACGACGCAGCTTCCTGTTCGGCAGCTTTAATAAACACTTCAACCCTAAACTCTAACGGACACGTTAACAGAACCGACACCGGGCTAAGAACCGGCGAGGCTCGGCTCTGAACGCCGACTTAAAACGGCTGTTGAAGCTGCGTTAGCTCCGGCTAGCCCGGTTAGCTCGCCGGGCTAACGCCGCCACCTCCGGCTCGGTTAACGGGCAGCTCTGCAGCCGAGCGGAGTGAGCCTCCTGCGGCTGAGCGGCTCGGAGAGTGGCCCGGAACGTTTTCCATCACAACGGCTGCTCGCAGGTAAATATAACGCTGTGGGAGCCTTTTTTTCACGCGTTAAATGTCCACAAACACGCAGAGTATACTCACACGGTGATCGGTCCGGAACCAGGCAGAAGTCTCCGTGCGGATCTGTCACGACACTCTGAACAAATATATCACAGCAAATTCATTATTTTATTTGATTTTTTTTCCTTTAAAAATCAACATTAAAATTCAAGATGGCGGCCTGGTACAGACGAGAGCGGACCGCAGCACAGCCATCCGAGAGAAAGTAGATCCCAGAAATACGCCACCAGTTCCGTTCACCGACAGCAGCGTCGAACCGGGACACGGCACGTCAGCGTCCCGGGTGAAACTCTTCACATTGAGCGCCGCTGCTGATTATTTCATTTCATATGTTTTATATGAATAAAATAATAAAAACTGTAAATGTTTATTTATTTTTTTATTAGTCGGATGTACACGAAAGTAGTGCTGCAATAAACAAACTCCTTCAGGCTTCAGAACCCAGAGGTGCTGTTCAAGTTCGGTTCTGCTGTCTCCTGACT